ACACACCACACCACACCACACATCACAACACAACACAACACAACACAACACAACACAACACAACACAACACAACAACACAACACACAACACACCACAACACACAACACACCACAACACACAACACACAACACACAACACACAACACACAACACACAACACACAACACACAACACACTACACACAACACACAACACACAACACACAACACACAACACACAACACACAACACACAACACACAACACACAACACACAACACACAACACACAACACACAACACACAACATACAACACACAACACACAACACACAACACACAACACACAACACACAACACACAACACACAACACACAACACACAACACACAACACACAACACACAACACACAAAACACAACACACAACACACAACACACAACACACAACACACAACACACAACACACAACACACAACACACAACACACAACACTCAACACACAACACACAACACACAACACACAACACACAACACACAACACACAACACACAACACACAACACACAACACACAACACACAACCCACAACACACAACACACAACACACAACACACAACACACAACACACAACACACAACACACAACACACAACACACAACACACAACACACAACACACAACACACAACACACAACACACAACACACAACACACAACACACAACACCCAACACACAACACACAACACACAACACACAACACACAACACACAACACACAACACACAACACACAACACACAACACACAACACACAACACACAACACACAACACACAACACACAACACACAACAAAAAACACACAACACACAACACACAACACACAACACACAACACACAACACACAACACACAACACACAACACACAACACACAACACACACCACACACACACACACCACACACACACACCACACACACACACACACGCACCCAGTGAACGGATCGCTTCGAAGATGCCGATCACCGATCACCATGTGAAGGGACCGAGGCTTGGAACGGTGCCCTGTTGGATGCGCCGTAATGGATCACAGGTGTCTTTAAACATCGCACACACGGAGATGAAGGAACAAATTACTTCGCTTCGAGCAATACACGCCCTCTACACTCACGAGCTTACGCTATGAACACGGTTGCGTGTGGTTGTCGAGTGGCTTGGGGCCTATGACTGCTCAACAAGCTTTGCATTGAGAGCCTTATCCACCTGTGTGTGTGTGTGTAAAACTCCACTTGTCTGCGAGCCGATCTCGAGAACTCGAACATCGGTTCCGTTAACACAAGCCAAGCCCCTTCCGAAAAGAAACCCGACGGGGGATTAAACGAAGTTGCTTCTTCACAACCCAAAGCAACACAAAAGCATCACCCTTTCCGAGCCTCAGGGCACACTGAGCGGGACATTAAGCAAAACCAGACTGGCGAGCTGCTCTGGCGGGATACTGGCGGGATTCACTGGCGAATGCTGGCGAGCCGGCATGCTCGGCGGGATCCGCTGACGGGTTGCTCTGGTGGGATACTCGGCGAAATCCACTGGCAAGCTACTCTGGCGGAACTACTGGCGAGCCACTCCGGGACACTCAGCGGGATATTCGGCCGGATCCACTAGCGGGCTGCTCTGGCGGGATACTCGGCGGGATCCACTGGCGAGTCGCTCTGGCGGGAGACTCAGCGGGATCCACTGGCGATCAGCTCTGGCGGGATATTGGGCGGGATCCACTGAAACGTGGATCCCAACATAAAATCTAACAACCCCTTCCTCTCAATTGGGAAAAAGAAGAATATGTTATTACGTCTTGGGCATGGCCCTTCTGTGCGACGCTGGTCTAGTGAGTCTACTGCAATATGACGCTGCCAATCAACCCCGCATCACATTGACATCATGGCCCCAGCTAGGGTTTTGAAGCCCGGCGTCATTTTGATGGAGGGCCTGACCGCTGCTGAAATGAACAAGCACCAAGCACCAGCGTTCGCTCTTGAAGTGGCAACCTCACATTAGACTTGCAAGATCAGCCTTTTCGATCGATGGGGTGTTTTCAGAAGAACCCCGCAAGAGCTGCCCTGAACCCAAGCGCCCCAAGCATCGAAGGGATCTCAGTTCCAAGCCCATCTTGAGGCGCCTTTAAGGGCGACACAGAAGAAGGAGTGCTTGGGACCTCGATCATGGGCATTTTTGCGCGACTGTCTCGAAACTTGGATCGTCCATGCCAGGTTTCATTAAGCTAGTTGACGAGTGTAATTGAGATGACCTTTGACCCACTGAATCCCCAGCTAGACAATTCTTCGTGTCCTAAGGAGGTCAGAAGTGCGAGTCTGAGAACCCGGGAGCGAGCTTGTCCTACTGCCTGACCCGCATGATGGATTGTCGGGCTGCCGAGTTTGTGCACCGTGTGAAAGACACCCCGGGTCAAAATGATGAAACCATTTTGGAGCCCGGCATGAAGCCGGGGACCCTTTGAGGGTCCCGCACCTTGTGCAAATGGTTTGAGCTCACTGGCAAGACAGCCAGACAGGGATGACCCAATTTGGGGCTCAAATCAAAGGAAACCACAATTTTTTGAGATGTTCCCTATCTGTATATGTGAGATGACCACTCCCCCCCCAAAGAGAACTCAATGCAAACATAGACTGTACAGCTTTGCTGTCAAGCGAGGAACTCTGAAAAGGGTTTGATGCCAAAGGCGCCTTAATCCATGCTGAAAGGGTTTTTTGTGGATCCCCCCACCATGGTTGGTTCCCCCTTCGGTTTCCCATCGGAGGTGTTTCTTGTTGCTGGAGCCGTTTCATTCACCATCGGGAAATCCCTTGCAGGAGTCCGAACTGGTGTTCGGATCTTCCGTGTCAAGGGTTCGAGTGGGTCGAAAAGGGTGTGATTGTAGTGTACTCTAAGCGGGCTCATGGTTAATTGGGGCTTGCCGAGTCGAAGAGTGAAGTGATGTCAAGTCCCGAGGCACAAGCAAGTGATATTTAAATCTGACGCTGTTAGGTTTGGTTTATGTAGACTCAAAGCCATGGACGTTCCTGAAACTTCAGGCTGGTCAAAATTGCACCCGCTTCAAAGTTGGCCTCTTGAAAGCAACTGTGAGACGGGCTTGCCTGGAAAGCATCCCTTTTGTCCAGTTCCACAATTGCGTGTTTTTTTTTGTCAGGTGCTTTTCTGGTGGTCACAGGGTGCCAGGGTGCAGGTTGAAGGGCCAAGCTGGGCCTCCAACCTTCCGAGGCCGCAAGCCCTCCGGGGCCTTCAAGGACAACCTGCGCCCGGAGCTCATGGCCCCTGGGAAGAAGGTGCTGCAGACCTGCACCAGCGACGGCTACACCCGCGCCTTGCTTGAGCCGGTACCTAGAGGCTTCGTGCTTGGGGGGATGCGGGTGGCTTGGTTTGGTGCCGTCTTTTAACGCACAGCAACGGTTGCTTCAAACTCAGGAGAATCAGTGAAGGTGCAGAGTCCGTTTGTCGCAGTGCCTGCCTTGACCCGGGGTTTGAGTTGTTTGCAGCCCAGGAATCGATGTCTCCTGTGGCTGCAGTGGCTGCATGTGCTGATGTGCATGTGCCGGCATGAGCTTGCCAGCCAAGCAGGCCAGAAGGAGTTTGAGGCTGGCACTAGCTACATACTACGCGAACCGACGTGTGCATGAATTCGTTGCCAGGAATGTCTCACGACAACCTGAGAATCCCTGCAAGTTTTTCATGGCGGCCACTGTTTGCAGTCAAGAGGTGTACTGCAGCAGAGGTTCTCGTCCGAGCAATTTTGTCATATTTCTGCGGAGAGCTTTCGTGGAAGTTGGCCCTTTGCAGGCTGTCCCGGCAGCCTGCGGCCAATTTCCCAGTGTTAGGAATTTTAGGTGCCAACCTGTGAGTCCTCAACTGCTACAGAAGGTGGCAAGAAGCAACGCCGAAGATGATGTTGGTGCGCTTCCTGGGTGGATGTCAAGTAGCACAGATTTGCACAGGTTCTCAAGGCAGCGTGCTTGCCTCAGGTCACGGCTGTGGCGAAGAAGCTCGGGTCTTAGAGACTGTCAGGTCTCTTCCGTCTGAAGATATGGTGAGGCCCTTCCTCCCACCAAGTGTAGTTTTGGAGGGTACCCGGAAGATCAATTTCCTCTTGGGACACCTTCGTCAGGTATCATGTGGGAGCAACACCTGATACCAGCGAAGCATGCACCAACTACGTAGGCGTAGCATGACGAGTATCACAGCGCTTCGTTCCAGTTTTTCCGTGTTTTTCTCATCCGGCGCCTTTTTTTGGGGGCTTCCAGTTGCAGGCCGCCAGCTTTGGCGCAGGCCTACCAGCGCCGCAGAGCTGGTGGACCTGGAACAGCAGTTGGAGCAATTCCGGGGCTCCACTTTGAAGGCGCGTCTCGTGTGGCTCCAAAGTGTTCCGCCAATCCAAACCCGCAGGTCGTATTTAAGGTTCGTTTAGGCGTGTTTATACCCTTGCGCCAACCATGAGGTGGGTATAAGCATGCACTCCGCATGAAACACGCTTGGTCACTCGTTTCTTGCAGGGATGCTCATTTGCACACCTCACTCCTCAAGTTGCATTTGTTGCCGTCCTTCAATCGCAAGTCGCGACTCGATTTTTTTTTTTCTCCGGGGAGGGAGGGGGGTTTAGAATGGATGGCCAGTCACATGGTTAATTGGGGATTCAGGCAATTGTGAAGCTTGGTCAGGAGACTATAACTCAAAGGACAGACATTGGCCCAGAAAGGACCCAACGAGGGGAAGCAATGTGTCACTGCCCATACGCCGAAAACGCCACGCAGTCCAGCTGCTTTTGGGTGAGTCTGGGGCAACCGGAAAGCGCTGGAGCGTAGGAATTGAGAACGCGGACCTTCCCTCAATGGCAAAGGTCTAGAAGCCAATTTTGCTCTGAACAGAACAGCAGAATGGAATAGACGTTTGCAGGAGTCTGATTTTGAACATGCATGTTTGGGCTTCTTTGAACAGTTGATTTGGGCTCTCATGTACGACATCCACTGCCCAAACAAGAGATGACGGAAGCAGTCCGAAATCAGGGGCCAGGCATCAATGAGCCTGGCCTGTACTTTGACCCTTTGCACAGGTGGTTCGGACCAACTTGTGGAAGATCCCTGCTTCAAAGCACCTCTTTGTGCCTTGTCAGCCCGACGAATGTGTGTGGGTTGGTGGCCTTCCGAGATGCGTCCACGGGAGAGCTGCTAGGACATGCTGGACGAATTCCAAGACATCCGTGCTTGGCAGCAGATGCGGTAGCCCCAGCATCGCTCGGACACGATCCTCATCAGCAAGACGTTACCCTCAGTGTCCTTTCTTCTTTTTTGTTTATCGCCTTCTCTTCCGAAACTAAATTGAACTTCTTTGTTTTGTTGTTTTTTTGGGGGGTCTCTACCAGCCCTGAGTGAACATTTTCGCAGAGGCTCTTCGACTGCGATCACCTTTTGACCGGCAAAGACTTCAAGGCGCACATCTCGCGCTGCGCGTCAGCCTGGCATGCGCCTCAGATGCCCAGTCTGGCATGAGCAACTGCTGAGGCTCAACAGAAAAGGAGACAAGACATGCGGACATGGGCGTCCCTTCCAGGCTGAGCCACAGACCGGAGTGAATTTCTCTCCACTGGCAGCTTTGTTCGCTTTGCTGTTGACAGAATCGTTGTTCTATGGAGCCAGGTCAGAGAGGTGCGTTGGTTTTCATCGCGTTCCAAACTTTGGAGCACTCCGTGCTCTCCGCTCGCATGCGCGGAGCGCGCATGAGTGGCAGCCATGAGCTCTGGCAAGCTGCGACCGGAAGACCCGGAGGCAAGGCCGACAGGAGACCTCCACTAAGGAACCTGACCAAAGTGGAGTTCCCCATTTTAAAAGACACCTCCACACCCTGAAAATGGCCACAAAAAGAAGTACTTTCGTAAAATTCTGGGGGCGTGGGTGAGGGGGGGGCGGTGGAAGACTTCCCTTGAAAAGGAAGCCTCTGGTGGGTTCTATGCTAGTCGGGAGGGGAGTCTGCTGAATGTTGACACGCTTATTGTGGAGCACTCTTCGTTGAGGAGAAAGGCGCCTTTTCTTGAGCAGTCGGCATGAGGCAAAGCAGACCGGTTCCAAAGAGCATTCCAAAGCCAACACTGGATGCATTCCTTTAACTAGGGACCTTTGTGGGTCTGTGTCTTCCAAAGCAACGCCACGACAAATGAAGCATGTGCACCCCATTTTGGGAATGCCATGGAATGAAATCTCACGTCTCCATATCTGGCATTTGTCCACGGTAATACAAACCTCACACGGTTCGCAAAATCTCAATGCCAGCCACTTCGGAGCCCGCACAGAGTGGCAAAGTAGGCCTGGGACACTTTTTCAGTTCTATGGGATCCATTTGGGCCAATGCCAAAGGCAGCGGCTAACGCGAGTTCTGACATCCAAAGGCGGGACCCACCTTTGCCTTTCCAATGAATCATAGCCAGGGACTCGAGTGAATTTGACGACATACCTCCCATGGAGTCCAGTTTGCCAGCCGGTTCAGCTGACGCCATTCACATATTGCATATTGATCTTCATGGTCATGGATAGTAGTGAATCGTCGATCCTTCATCATGAGGCGTAGCGACAGAGGCTCCCAAAGGCTTGAGGTGCTGTAAATATCAGTGAATTCCTGCAGTTTTGGGGTGCCATATTTAATATGTAGTATTATGTGTGTGTGTATATATAATATGATGTAATTGTAAACGCTTCGCGTTGCCCGCCTCGGCCCAAGCCCAGTTTGAGGGAAGGGTCAGGAACACCGAAATCCAGTGTTGGGAAGGTCCGAATCCTACTGAAAGCTTGTGACCGCACCAGTTCGCCCGTGCTAGTTCGATGTTCGGAAGCCGTCCTGCTCGGAAGGTTTGAAATCCAAAACCAAGACTATCTCAGCTGCTCAGTGCCCTTGGAAAAAAAAGGACCTCTTTCTGGGGATGAGCATTTTTAGTGGGGCTTGGCCTCCATAAAAAGGGGAACAATAGTTGGTGTCACTGAACAACCAAGACCAACTTTGGGTGTTTGGGCACCTCCATTTCACGTGGCTGGCGGCTGGCCATGACATACATTTCTTGCTCGGTTGCTCAGCCCAAGACAGGTACATGGTGGGAATACAAACCTCCATTTGCTTAAGTACCCCGGAAAAATATCCCCAATAGACACGCCAGCAGGCGGGCTGAGGGACTGGGCCTGAGGCTGGTCTCAGGCTGGCATACCTTGAGACGCCGAAGGGGCTGGGCCTGCTGGATGACTTGGGGCCGGGGGGCTGAAGCACGTCAGACAGGCTTGGTAGCTGGCGTAGCTTGAGACCAGTCTCAGACACGTGAGACTGGTCGGCACGTTAGACAAACCTGACCTTGGCACGCTGGGCTGAGCCTGCTGGTGGGCTGGGAGCTGGGGGCCGGCCTAGTGGCTGGCATGCTCTCAGATGCGCGGGCCTTGGCTGGGCAGGCTGGGCTGAGGTGGGTTGCTGGTTGGGCTGGGCCTGAAGCTAGTCTCAGCCACGAGGCTGCGAAGTGGGTTGCTGGCTGCCGGGCGGCCGGACTACGCTGCTGGTTGCGCCGGAACTTGGGCGGGCTGGGCTGAGCTGTGTGGGCGGGTCTGGGCCTGAGGCCAGTAAGGCCAGCAGGCGGGCCGAGGAACTGGGCCTGAGGCTAGTCTCAGGCTGGCATACTTTGAGACCAGTCTCAGACTGCGCCGAAGGGGCTGGGGCTGCTGGATGACTTGGGGCCAGACGCGAGCAGGAGGCACGTCAGACAGGCTTAGCAGCTGGCATAGCTTGAGACCAGTCTCAGACACGTGTTGGCCTGAGGCCTGACCTTGGCACGCTGGGCTGAGCCTGCTGGTGGGCTGGGAGCTTGGGGGCCGGCCTAGTGGCTGGGGCTTCGTAGCCGGACTGAGGGGCTGGGGCACGTCAGACAGGCTTAGTAGCTGGCGTAGCTTGAGACCAGTCTCTGGGCTGGGAGCTGGGGGCCGGCCTAGTCGGCCTGGGCTGGGCTGGGCTTGCTGGGCCTGTTTCAAACAAGCTTGGCTGGGTGGGCTGGGCTGACAGGCCTGGCCAGCAGGCTGGTTGGGCTGGGCCTGAGCCCAGTCTCAGACACGTCAGACAGGCCTGGCCAGCAGGAGGTCATGCTTTTCAGGACAAAGGGGCGGCCCGGCAAAATTTTGGTTTGTCTTTGGAGAAGAGATCTGAGCGCCCTTGGCCCCTTTGGGGCCGAGGCGAATAGTGTAATATTCCCTACGCTACGTATATCTAATTGGGGTACCCTCATGCTTAGAGCAAGTGTGTTTGGGCTCTCGAAGGAGCCAGGACAGAAAGGCCCCTGACCAATTCGGAAAGCCCTTTGTGATGGATTTGCGGTGAACCCGACAGAGCAAAATTAATATCCGTTGCGTGGGCAGCACAACAATAATTTTGAATGTCTGCCCGAAGCGGAAACGGAAGTATGATAAGACATATTCGAAAATTAGCGGGGAGCGTGTCAAATCATATCAAACCCAAAATTGATGGAAAACCGTCCTTGCTTGATCTCCACCCCCACCAGCCCCCCCCCCCCCCCCCCCCCCAAAAAAAAAAAGAACAAAAGAAGAAAGAAAAGAAGAAGCCCCTGCCAACATTGAACTGTGCTGAGACAAACAGAAACGGTAGCTAATTGGGGGGTGATCCCATTTTGATCTTTGCAGATCAGGCGCAAGGAAGCCACCAAACGATCGAACACATTCGAAAACTGAGCTTAAACCTGGTCAAATCACATCAAACCCATAACACAGCACAGCAGCCCCTGCTTGATCTCCGCCCCAAGTATTCCGGGGGTGGGTCACCAACTTGTTACTTGAAGGGTGGTGCATAGGTCGTGTACCCCTGGGTTTGATCATTTCACTGGGGTATTTCTGAAAACTTAAACGTGTGTGTTTACCCTGATTTGCAAATTTGCCAGGACGCCCTTGACTACCCAATCAACATCGATTAATGACAGCCCATGTTACCCCGACTAATTAGTTGTTTTCTCAATTATCGCCTTAGAAAGAAAACAACGATTGAACTTCTCAATGGGTTGAATTAAAGACTCAAGGGTACCCATATGTATTTGATGATGGGTGCCCTCCCTTAAACCCCCTGTGCCGTAGGGGAGTATAATATATATATATATATATGTATTACATATTAACTAGACTAGATAGATAGATAGATAGATAGATAGATAGATATAGTTCTCGGTACAGTTCCATCAAGGGGCCACAGACGTGTTTTGGACCCTCACAGCTTGACTGCCTTTGGGGCGTGCTGTGTAGACACCAGAAAGCTGCCAGCGCATCCTTGAGCAAGCACTCAGACACAACAATCACGATACTGACAAACATGACAAACAGATACTGTTACAAGCAACACCCACTGACGTGCAACACCGTGTACAACAATGATGGTGACTAAAGACATCGGCATCACAAGACATATAATATGGAACCATGATATGCGCAGCTGCCACTCTGACCAGGTCCAGACCCATCTAATGTATATATATATATATACGCATACACATTTGGTGTGTATAGGTCACCATCGTTCATCATCGGGGTCCATTCGAGTCAGGCGCAGGAAATGACCTACGCTGCCGCAAGCTCCCCGGACCTGCTGCGAGCGATCGAGGTGAGCCTGTGCAAGGTCAAAGCTCTGTTTCGAGTGTGCCCCTGAGGTTGAATCACAAGGGGGGAAGCACATATTTGTCTGGCTACCGGGCAAACAACTTGGGGTCAGAGGTACACCTATGGCTGCAAAGTGAAAGCGGCAACACACATGCGGACTCGCGAGAACAGGATGCTTCGCGTAGATAGAGTTTCTTCTGACTGTGGGCGAGTTATCCGATACCTCAAATTGCCAAACTGGTTGCAACTGGCAAGGTATCTTGGACATCAGAGGCTGAAGTTATTAGGGGGCCAATTTGAGCATGATCTCGGGCGGCTGCTGATCAGGTTTTCCACCACAAGTGCTTGCTGCATTTGGCCAACCAAGTTTCCAAGCGTGACGCGACGTATCCGCTTTCAACGTCAAAGCAAAGAAGCTACATACGTGGGGAACGACGCCACGGATTTTTTTTATTGAACACATGCTATTGACATTTTGGGTTGTGCGTTTGAAGATGTCGGGTTTCGTAACTTTGTAGAGCTTCTACTTGTTGAACAATTCAGGCAAAGGACTACTAAGCTGCAGAAAATGAGCAGAAACGCATGGACATTGGGCGGGACATGCTTTCAACATCATCGGCTTAAAGCTGCGGTTGTGCGCGCTGGCCCTTGCTTTCGATAAGCCATGTGTCAAAGTGCAGCATATTTTTTTGAACGGGGAGCTCCACTTGTTTTTAGAGCTCCACTTTCGGGTTCCCTTGTCAGTACCTAGCCAGGAGTTGCTTTTCTATCATGTATGCTCGTGTACCTCTATCTAGATAGAATTCCACATGGTTCACCGGTTTATTGTGGATTTGGCAATTATAAGTATTGATATTTATCAGACTGAAGCACCAAAGGGAATGGGAAGGCAGGGATGAAGGTTTCGGGACGACTTGAGCTACCCGCCAGAAACGGAATCTGACTCCCATCCCCGCCCCAAGGCGCCCAGGCCCTCAACTCCACACCTCAACTCGCTCCTTACCCTCCGAGTAACGAGGAACCTGACCTTTCGGGCGGATTGGACAATTTTCCTTTTGCACGGACCGGGTCCCGAACGTGAAACGGTTCCATGTGAAAAGTTTGCCGAAACTTCTCGTCCGCGCCAGGCCCTCACCGGTCCGGAAAATGTGCGGGGCTGCTGCGTGAATGCGGAGCGGGGCCATCTCCAGGCGAGCAGAGTGGCGAGGCGTTTTTGCCCCTGCGACGATTACGGAAGTGGATGTTTTCGGCTTCCCCAAAAGGAAAGTCGTCTTCCAAAACCCTCCTGTCACCTGTCTGCCAGATAAATGCTATTTGGTGGGGTAGTGCTCCAATTGGCGAAATGCAACGAAGATTTGAGCACTGGTCGTGTGAGAGCAATCCTGGCTTCGGATTGGGTTGGATTTGTGACTGGATCGTTGGCTAGGCCCTGCAGAATGTCGTCGGCTGGACCATTGGCGGCTTCGACACGCGGCCGGTGCCAGAGGCAGACGTGACCTTTGAGAGTCAAGCAACGGGATTTCCCATCCGACGTTCCTCTGACGGTGTATGGCCCCAGGCAAGCAGAAGCAAGACATGCCCTACGACAATGTCCCGCTTTCACTTACGCCTTTGTGGCAATTTTCAGAGGTCGAGCTAACCCCCCCCCCCACCCCAAATCAAGCCCTGGGTGCACTGGGACGAGGACCATGGACCATTTAGAGTCCCCAAATCTGGCTTGGAGAGACATTCCCTTTGTTGCGAAAGCGCACTGCAATTTGCAGGGCCTGAGGGCTGTTATTGGGTGTCCTGGTTGGTTCACATGCTCGAGGAGGGCATGTGCAGGTAGGTACCGGACAGACCCAAAACATTCGTAGTATACGACTTCAGACGAACAACGCCATGTTTACCATGGTTTTTGTTGGTTGCACCCCTGCAAAATACAATGGAACCCAAACAACATCGTGCTCGGCCTCACAACCCCTTTTGGGTTCCTTCCTTCGGAAGGAGATATTAACAACCTTCAGCTTCCCCCAAAAATGGCCGGCCCCAACAATGACCGGCCCTTTGGCTTCCCCCAAAATGGCCGGCCCCTTTGAAAGATTTCCTTTGGGCCCAAGATGTTCAAGGGCCAAGCCATCGCGGGCTCGCTCGTTCGAACGGGGCACTCAGGCCGAGGAGCAGAAGCAGAAGGATCGCCTACAGATTCTGCGCCTTGCCGGGTGGTTTCCACCGTGTTTTGGCTTTTGAGGCTACCCGCTCCGTGTTTTTCCCAACAGCGATCAGATGTTGGGTTACAATCCCTCTTAGCAGGGTCGAGTGGCGGTGTTTTTTTTGATAAATTTTCAAAATGCAGGGGGGGGGCGCGCGATCCGGAACGGGGTACGCAATCCGGAACGGGGGGAGGGGGTAGGGGGGTGGCGGTGCTTTTTCTGAGAACTTTGCAAATGTAAGGGTGGGGGGGGGGAGGGGCGCGATCCGGAACGGGGTACGCAATCCGGAACGGGTGGGGGGGGGGGGGAGTGGCGTTACTTTTTGTGAAAAAAACTGAACATGTAAGGGTAGGGGGGGGGGGGGGCGATCCGGAACGGGGTACGCAATCCGGAACGCACAGGGGCACGATCCGGAACGGGGTACGCAATCCGGAACGGGGGGAGGGGGTAGGGGGGTGGCGGTGCTTTTTGTGAGTACCTTGGAGTTTGTAAGGGTGGGGGGGGTGGGCGATCCGGAACGAGGTACGCAATCCGGAACGGGGGCGGTGTTTCTTGTGAGAACTTTGGAAAATGGTTTGTTGAACACTTGATCTCCTGCAACATTTGGCTCAAGGCCCTTCTATTTCAATCGTACAGTCATTCGACGCGTGGTACATTGATAAAAGGCTTGCAGACCGCTTTACAGGTATAACAGCCACCAGGGACAATCCATCCTCCAATCCTCCATATTGGCATATTGTGGACTCTCTCCGGAATAGATCCAGGGACCAAATCAACGACCTCTACTACCACAGGGTACCGGTTCCCTTCTGGGATAGGCACCCCGGCAGTCGGCCTCAATTTGTGGTAGCGGAGCGGGTTTTCCGCAGAGATCCAAGGAAACATGTCATCCGATGGAGAAGGCTTCATGGAGGCCTACTCAAGTATGGCCAAACCATCCGGCTATACGGAGGAAACACTCAATTTATCAATGACCGCCAAGCAGCCGCCATCGTACGACGGAAAAGTCAGCTGGTTCAGGTATGAAGAACTCGTGGACGAATGGGTGACAATAAAGACCGGTGGAAGAACCCAAGAGAGGACCCCTCCTCAAAAGCAGACTCACAGGAGATGCTACATGTACAAGGCAGCCCTCCAAAATGACCTTTTGCAAGATCCTGATGAAGGAGTCAACTATTTCAAGAACACGCTGAAGAAGTACATTTTGAAGGGTGCGACCAACGTGTATCTGTACAGGCTCCTCAGTTTCTTCAATCATAGAAGGCAGAACCAAGAGTTCCTCATTTTTACCTCACAATTCGAAATCCTTCTTATGAGATTGAAGGCAGCATGGACGGACTTGATGCCCGTTTTCACGGCACAGTCCCCATCATTTCGACAGTCCGTACAGGACGCAAACGCAAGAACAATTGCTCGACATCAGCAAGCAGCTGGTACTCGAGTACCGCCTCCAGTCCTGCTCAATCAGGATGATCCAACAGTCCTCAGACAGTATACCACGGGAACGCAGGACAGACAGCGGGACGCATTTCCCTTCGGGGATGGTCTCATTGCGCAGTTTTTCATCATTCAGAGTGAATTGTCAGATCAGCAGAGAGAGAGACTGACCAGTGCTATGTCACTGAGAAACATTTCACTAGAGAACTACTCCTATGAGATGCTGAAGACGCATTACCATGAACTCTTCATCACCACCAGGACATCCATCCAAGATCCATCCATCAGACCTCAAGGAGGCAACCGAAGCAACACATTCTTCATCCTCGAACAAGGAGAATACGAAGGAGAAGAAGGCTTCTGGGTTGAAGATGAAGATGGACTTAAGGATTCATGTCAAACAACGATGAAGAGACATTCTGGGTCCTTGAAGAGAACGATGCGTTCATAGCAAGAAAAGTGTCAGGGCGGAATTTCAGATTCAAAAAGAGAAAAGGAAAAGGGAAACCAGGAAACAAAAAGGGCAGTCACCAACGAGGTGGCTTCAAACCCTTCAGAAAAAGCGGTTCTGGCGGGAAGGCCAATATGGCCAATGAAAACTATGACCCCTACGACCAGGCATATTGGGGAAAAGGCAAAGGAAAGAAGGGAAAGAAAGGAAAATCCAAGTTCCAATATCCCTATGATGGAAACAAGGGTTATCCATCCTATGAGAATGGCAAAGGAAAGGGCGGACATGACAAGGGAAAATCCAAGACGTTCGCAGCCATTGCAGAGAAGTCGGAGGAGCATCCTGCCACACAGCCAGTTGCTGAACTTCAAGAGCCTGCCTATGCCGGTTGGACAGACCAAGATTGGGATCAATCATGGACATGGAACGAACAAGGCTGGGGTACTCATCCCATGAATGAGACATCCAGCACAGGACAAGCGCTAATGGCGTTCCCTCACGCATATGAGCATCATGAGAAAGAAGCCATCCATGGGAAGCTGATCCAATCAGATGCAGTTATATTAACTATTTTGATGCTAATAACTTATATGGATTAGCAATGATACAAAAACTACGATACAACAAATTAAAGTGGGATACTAAAATAACAGAAGATGATATTTTAAACTATGATACTGGTAACACTGGATACATCTTAGAAGTTGATTTAGAATACCCTAAAGAACTACACGATTTACACAATGACTATCCAATGGCACCTGAAATTATGAATGTTAAAGCAGATATGTTATCACATAAACAAGTTGATTTTTTTTGAAGTACTGAACAAGAAAAACCTAAAGATGAAAAAAGCAAACAAATTAATATTGAACTTAAAAGACAAAGAAAAGTATGTAGTCCATATTAGAACTTTACAGTTTTATTTAAAACACGGATTGAAACTAAAGAAAACACATAGAGCAATAAAATTCAGTCAGAAAGAGATATTAAAACCTTACATTGAATTTAACACTGAGAAAAGAAAGAATGCCAACAATGATTTTGAGAAAGATGTTTATAAATTAATGAATAATGCCGTGTTCGGAAAAACGATGGAAGACAAAAGGAAACATTTAGATTTTGAAATAGTGAGTGATGAAACAAGATTTATGAAATGTGTTAATAATCCATCATTTAAACATAGTCATATTATCAGCGATAATTTAGTAGGAGTTGAAAAACAGAAAGCAAAATTGAAAGTAGATAAACCTATATTCATTGGAATGAGTATTTTAGATTTGAGTAAGCAACATATGTATAAGTTTATTATGATGTTATCAAACTTAAATACGGAGAAAATCTTAGAATGGTTTATACTGACACTGGTAGTTTTGTATCTCATACTAAAACTGATGGCATTTATAAAGACCTTAATGATACTAAAGATGAAATGGATTTTTCAGATTATCCTATTTATCATAAATGCTATGATACTACTAATAAAAAAAAGTTCTTGGTATATTCAAGGATGAATGTAGTAGCAACATTATTACAGGGTTTGTTGGACTTCGTCCTAAGTGTTTCGCTTTTCAATTCTATGGAGAAGAAAAAGAATATAAGAAATGCAAGGGCACAGCAAAGCACGTAGTAAGGAGGCAACTGACATATAAAGAATATGATAAGGTTTTACAAACTAATGGAGTTATACATAAATCATTCAATGGTATTAGAAGTAAAAACAATATATTTCTTAGTATTAGATCAACAAAGGTTAGTTTGAATAGTTATGAAAATAAAAGATACTGGACAAATACAGGTGGTATTTTAGCATATGGACACTGGAGAATTAAAGAGATGATGACTTAATGTAGTAATGAAGATACACGCAGAACTAAAAGAACGAATGGAATTAATAAAAGACATGAGAAAGGTAAAAGAACACTATGAAGATGAAAGAGATAAATATGCTTTGCTAGGTGTTAAATACTTTAAAACTAACAAGAAAGACTTTTATGAAGGGTTTAAATCATGCCTTGAATTAGAGCACGATGAGACGCAGTTGAAAAAGATTTTGATGAATTAACAAAAACTTGTGAATTAGCAGGTGAAAGTTCCGTAAATTATGTGTTTAGTTTTGACGAAGTGGTAAGAGGATATGAAAGAGTTATAGAAATACAAAAACAAAAAATATGTAATGTAATTCGTTAAAAATGACTTAAGGAAATAATGACTTACTGTATTATAGTGAAATGTTGTTTAACTATAACAAGTGCGAATGCTGTAAATGCAAAATGAATGATTTGAGTTTGACCCTACATCATTTACTACCAGCAAATGTATGTAATAAAATAAGTGAATATAATGTATATTGCAATCAATGCTGTATAACAAGAGACCTTGAACAGTTTTTCTTGAAGCATAAGGATAAGGGATATACAAAGTTTCAGTTACAATTAAAATTCTTTATGAATTCTTTAGTAATGAAGATTTACTTAGGAGGTTTGGAGGGACAAACACAATTAAACCATATAAAGCATTTGTCAAAAATACCGTTATTTGTTTGAATGGATTGACTGGCATTTATTAAACAAAGATAAAATAAACGAAGTCTTGAACGAATTTAGAGCAATTAAATATAGTATCTGGTATTACTACAACACTAATATAAAGTATGTCTATTAGTTAACTTGTTTTTCTGGGAATATATTTATTCAATAATAGGAAAAGACAATATCAAATATATGGATAAAGATATGTAGATTACATATTTGAAGACGTATTGCCTGACTATTATTTTAACCCATAAACCTTACAATAAAATTAAATTGTAAGATTTATGTTGTGAAATATATTGGTAATAATTTAAGTTGATAATAATTGAAGTTTATATTCATTCTTTGAAAATGACTTAAGGAAATAATGACTCAATATATTAGTGAGAGAATGAGCGGTATGGAAATCACTAAGTATATTAATAAGAAATGCTATGACTGTTGCCACTTTAAAAAAGAAAATATGGAATTGTATAAATTGAATTTGCCTAATGGTATAGTGAATAATATTATTAACTATTCAATGGATGAAGAAGACGAATGTGAAAATTGTATAAATTGGAGAGATAACCAAT